GTGGATTCCACCTCCTGGAAGCCCTGGGGCTCTGCTATGAGACAGACAGGAATTCCAGTCCTGCTACTTACTTATCATTGGCGTAACCTGGGGCAAGTGCTGTCACCTCTCAAATGTTGGCTCAGCCATTGATTCTTTGTGTGACCTTGAGCCGATTCCTTCACCTCTCTGAACCTCAGTTTGCTCATTTATAAAATGGGGATAACAATACTACTTATGTCTCAGGCTTGTCATGAGGATTAAATAATACATGTAAAGTGCCTGGTGGGTAGAAGGCACTACGAATTACCAGCTGGGTAATTTAGAGCAAGTTAAAAAAAAACACTCTAAGCCTTAGTTTCCCTAGTTTTACCTGTCCCTCAGGGTTGTCATACTAAAGCAGTTAATCCAGGCAAGGTTTGTAGCCATGCACCCAGTCTGTAGTCAGGACTCAAACACTGTCAGCTGTTGTAACTGTCACCCTCCCAGCCACCCTGCTGCCTTGACCCTTCTGGACAGGAAAGTCCCCCTCGTTCAGCTCAGTGGGTGTTACCACCTCCTACCCCCACCCCCAAACTGTGCCTGCGTGGTTATCCTGTGGGGACTTTGTCTCCACGCCTCAGTCTCCTGTTGTAAAATAAGTGGCCTGTGCTCAGGGTTATGACTTGTCCGGGGCCTGGTCTTGGTAACTGAGTCTTACCCCCGGCTGGGCAGGCTCATAGCAACCTCCAGACCAGCACACAAACCCAGGGACAAAAGCCTGCCTAACTCTTTGTTTTCCTCATTCATAAATGGGCATAATAACTGTGTCTGTCCCCGAGGATGGCTGCGATCATAGTACCGGAGGAGCTCGTGGATGTAACATGAGTAGCAAGTGCCTGGCTGAGTGTGCTGCTACCGCTTCCTGAGGACTCCCTCTTGGCCAGGTTTTCTACCTGGGTTTGTGTGCTTGCGTAGAGGTTGCTACAAGCCTCGCGAGCTGGGGAGTAAACCAAAGACCTAGTAACCGACACCAGGCCCCTGACAGGTCCAAACAGTGAACTCAGGCCACCTAACAACTTGGACTGGGAGGAGGACTGGCCACCATTTTACAACAGGGGCCAGGGGCGGAGAGGAGACAAAATGCCCAGTAGACAACACACAGGTACAGTTGGGGGAGAGGGGGATAGGTAACACTCACTGGGGTGGGGGAGGGGGCTTTCCTTGCCCAGAGACTGAGGAGCAAATAGGCAACTCTTTTAACGAGCGTGTGTGTGTCTGTCTGTCTGTCTGTGATACAATAAAGGACGACAGAGATGGTAGGGAGAGGGCTGAGAGCAGAGGGCTGACCTTGACACCGGAGGGGAGTGAGTGGATTGATAGAATCAGCAGTGGCAGATATGGGATTGGAACCCAGGTACATCTGCCTCCAAAGCCCATGCTCTTAATCATTACAATGTTAATGCCTGGCACAGAGCAGGTGCTTAATAAAAATTTGTTTAATGAAGGAATTCGTACTGCCACTTCTTTCTGGAACGTCTTCTTTCTCCATCTCTACCTGAGCTCATCCTTCAAGGTCCAGCTTTCAAATGAAGCCTCACACTCAACTGATGTGCCCTCTCTCTGTTGTTACGGTTGTGAGGGAAACGGGAGGCATCAGTGTGGGGGTAAGGACGCAGGGAGCACGAGGAGGGGCCAGCTGGTGTGGAGCCAGAGGAAGGACGCGGAGTTTTGCAGATTTTTGCCCCTGAGTTTGTGTGCCAGATTTGAAGTTGCTACAAGTACTGGGTACGCCCATAACAAAGTAACTCACACTGGGCTCTGATTAGTCAGAATAGCGAACTCCAGTCACTTAGCAACCATGTGTGGGGAAGAGGACTGGAAGCCATGTCAGGGCAGGGGCCGGGGAGGGAAGGAAGTGACACAAAATGGCTGCCACTGACAACTGCGCATGTGCAGTAAGAGGGAGGTAGGGGGACGTGAGAGGAGCTCATTCTGAGTTAAGAATTACTGCTCCAAAGGTTTTAGGGTTTTTAAGCCACTGGGGATTTAGGGATTTGTAATTCTATGCTATATAATACCCTAAAACCAAGGATATTGGGATTCCAGGGATTTTAAACCCCTACTACCTACGGTACAAAGACTCGAACAATTTTTGAGCTATGAAATGCTGGGAGCTTAGGACCCAAAACAAGGATTTTAAACGGAACACTGGACATGTTAAAATACTAATCCCCCTTCGACTTCAAATCAATCTTTGTTTAACCCTTGGGATAGTGGTTTTCAAATAATCTTCCCCACAATCTAGGGATCTCTGAAGGTGCCTCCCAGAAAGAGGGTGGAGAGGGTTCATTTACAAGAGAGAGGACACCAAAGTTAGAAATCGTGTATCTCCCATTGTGGTTCCCACCAGGGCAGATCCATCTTTATTTGGTTTGTTGAGCTTCTGCATTCAATTCAGAAGAAGGGTGTTCCTGCTAAAGCACACAAAAAAATAAGTTTTGAAACCTCTCTCCTGGGAAAAAAGGACCGGAAACCTGTGAAAGTGAGCCTGAAAGCCACATTTGACCTCTGTTTCTTTCCTTGTTTATTTAAGGAGGGACAAACACTGCAAAGGTGCTTTGACTGGTAAACTATCAGATGGTGCCAGAGATCAGGTGGAGATGACTGACAAATCCGTGGTGAGTTAAATAAACTAGTCATTAGCTGACTCTAGTCTGTTAGCTCATTTCTGCTATAAAATTCATAATAACCACTACTACAAATATGATTTCTGTGAACACTACCACTGATTGTGTGCTTTTACTATGTGCCAGGAGTTGTGCTAAATATTTTACATATTAGTTCACTGAGTCCTTACAACAACCCCGAGAGGAAGTATCATTACTTTCTCCGATTTACAGAGAGGAGACTGAGGCTCAGAGTGGATAAGTAACTTGCCCAAGGTCATACAGCTAGCACCTGGTAAATTCCACTTTACCTACAAGCAGAAACAGAATGGATGACAGGAATTAAAGTGACCAAAGGTCAACTGCCTGGCAGCCTTAATTAAGGAAAAAAGTTAAATTTTGACCAATAGATGGCACCAGTGGGTGATTTTGGCGGTCTGCTCAAGGCTGTGTTCCATTCAAGGAAGTCCCAGCCAGGGCTCAGAACTATCTTATATTGAGAGAGGAGAGAAAGATGGCCAGCATTTTACTCCTGAATCAGATCATGTTACCCCCTCCTGTCTGTAGCTCAGCAAGGATGTGGGAAGACAGGAAGTGAGGGGACAGAGGTGGTTCTACCAAGAACTGCTTTTGGAAGACCTGCTAATCTTTTTCCTTCAGCAATTCCTGAGCCCCTCCCTTGTGCCAGGCAGGGTGCTGTGCAAAGAAGCCACACGGAGATATCAAACACAGCCCCATCTGGCTGTCCAGGAAGACCAACAGGTGCTATGGTCGAGGAGGTACTGAATGTATTGGGGCGCCCAGCCTGGGCTTGTGGGTCTGGTGAGTCTTCTCACAGGAGAGGTGGCTGAGCTAATCCTATTGGATGCCTGGGAGTTTATCAGACATACAAAAGTGGAAAAGCATTCTGGACAGAGGATTAAAGCCACAGAAACATTAGAAAGCGTGAAACATTCAAGGACACACAACATTGGCTTCAGCTGTTGAGAGATGAATCTGAAGAGACAGGTGAGAACCAGGCAATTGGAACCAGGCCTTGCATATCAAGTTGAGCACTTGGTTTGTGAATGGATGAGTAGAGAAGCTATAGCTTCTCAAGCGGACCTGTGATTAAAACAAAAAAAAGTCCAACTGTTGATGAGGCAATGAAGAACCACAGCAGGGCTTTGAGCAGGGGCACAACATGGTGTGATCTGGTGGCCAGTGTGGAGGAGGAATTGAAAGGGAATATGCCGGATGGAGGCAAGAAGATGAGGTGGAGAGTGATTGGGACAGGGGTAGCTGAGGGCCTGAGCTGCAGCAGAGACAAAGGGAACTGACAAGATAAACTTGACAGGAATGGTAGCCTCCCAAGCTCCCTCCCCACATACACACACTCATCTCCAAGGCTCGACTGATGCTGCACCTCTCACCTTCCCCCACTCCCAGCCCTGCTTCCAACTTTTAAGCTGCCCTCTGGGGGCCTTTTTGTTCCCTTTCCAAGCTGTCTTTCAGTTTTTAATCAAGCCTGATTTCACACCTTGACCAAGAGAGCCTGGCCCTCCATTGGGCCTCCAGTTGTACAGTCCCATGGAGAAAGATCTGTGAACCGACCTCAGAGCAGTAAATTGGCCTTGAGCTGGTCTCTGACCCTCTGCCTGTGGGTTCACAACATGGGCAGAGTTCAGTTAAGAAATCAGTACAGTTCCAGGAAAAAGGTAAACATCATCTAGTTTATTTTTCTCCTGATTCATCTCATGCCAACACACAGACCCCAGTAGATAACAGGCAAGAAGGGGGAGGTCCCCAAAGCAAGCCGATTCTCTAGATGGCCCCTTCCCTTCCTGCCAGGTCCATCAGAAAGGCACCCCAGCTGTGCCTGGGTCAGGTGTTGGTATTGTATCCCTGGAGGTGAAGCCAGAAGTCAGGCATTCCACTGGGAGACAGGACTGGGTGACCACCTGCAAGACTGGGGAGTCAAAGAGCCCTGAGGAGTGACAGTTCCCCTCCTCATGCACATGCCCTGTCTTGATCTGCTTCCTGGGGGCTTCATAAAGCAAGTCTTCCTTCCCCTAGAGTTCCTGGGACCCTCTCACTGTCAACATAACAGCAACCCAATGAGATGCTGGAGGCCCCGGGCTCACAGGCCAGTTGGGTATAGCCCAGGTGAGCTTGTGACCTGGGGACCCAACTTTCAATCCAGAGACCCGTGCCTGGAGATTCCTGGCTAATTGATGCCCTGGAGCCTTGCTAGGCATGCTGAACCCCAGTCAGACTCTCACCGGCTCAGATGGGACAGGTCTGGGGCAGGAAAGGAGGAGGAGCCGCGGCCATCTGTGGAGCTGACCCTGGTACCTTCACACCCCCTTCAGGCCCCTTTTCATCTGCCTCATCTTCTTTGTCCTCCTCTTCCTCCTCTTCTTCCTCTTTTTCACTGTCTGAGTCCTCATAGAGGTTGATGGTCGCCTGGACAGGGAAGTTCTGCAGTAAAATCTCCCCATCACTGTACAGGTAGTCAAAGGAGCGGGATTTAGGCCAGAAGAGCCTGTGGACGGAAAAGAAACATGGCCCCTAACTTAGACAGGGCTCATATGTGCAGAAGGGTCCATAGGGCCAAGAAGGAAGCCAGCCCCTAAACTCCATCTACCTGCAGTAACAAGGGGAGAGGGAAAGGAAGAAAGAGAGCTTTGTAACAGAACCTTTGGGATTGCTATAGAATGGCTCCAGGCAGGAAAGTGATGTCTGGTGGGCCTAGAGCTGTGGAGAGCCCCATCCCCTGCACTTATCTATCCTGACACATATCCTGCCCCACTACCTCAGAAAGCCTCCAGCCAAGAATTCTCTAGCCCTGTGTGTCCTCCATCTCTGACTAAGGTTTTCTTCACTGATCCCTCCCATAGGGGCTCATTCTTAGGGTCATTGCCAATGACTCCGGGGAGGCAACCTTGGCCAAGTCCCTTAATTTCTTTGAGCTTTAGTTTCCTGGTCTATGAAATAGTGATCATAGCAGTGCCTCCCTCCTCCTGCTTCACATGGCTGTTGTGAGAAATTAAAGAGCTAATGGAGCTACGTCAAATTCTGAGCTTGGTGCCAGAAGCTTACCTGACAGGGTGATGGAACTCGGAGTCAGCCTTGGTGACCTTGGCACCTGTTGCCCCACCAGTGGCCTGTCCAAAGCAAAAGCTAGCATGTGGCCCAAAGTACATGGCCAGATCACTGCCTCTCCCATATCAGGGGCCAGGAAACTGTAAGTAAGATGATGTGGAAGAGACCTTAGACATCTCTGGGGTCCAGCTCCCGCCTCCTCAACAAGGTGGTCTGTCCTGGTTCTGGTTGAGAAACAAGTAGACAGAGTCCGGGGGGTTGTTTGCTCTCCTGTCCCTGTTCTAACACCTGTTTGGAGACCATCCAGGGGACAGAGTTCTACTGGAGCAGCAAATATGCAGGGGTGGGTGGGGGTGGAGAAAGAGCCCTGGGGCTGGGTGCCTGCATAACCTCCCCCACTCTGAGCCTCAGTCTCTTCATCTTCCCAGTTGCCCCAGAAACCTCAGCTCTGCCTTACTCCTAGAGCTGTTGTGGGAATCACACGTGGGTGAGGCTGGGAATGGGGCTTTCTTGGGTGGGCAGACCCGGATGGAAGTCAGGGGCTCTCTGGGAAGGGGCCCGGTCAGCGTGAACGCACTCAGCTGTGTGCTCGCGCAAACACATCGAACAAGGGCTCAACCTCACCAAACCCACCGATTTCCTCACCTGCCTTGGGAGGTCGTTTGTAGAGGACAGCCAGGGCCTCCAAAGACAAGCTCCTCTAGGACAGAGAGGAGAGATCAGTTGGTGGAGAAAGAAGAGACTGGAACGCGGGCTCCCTGAGATAACAAAGGAGGCCAGCAAAAAACTTGGCTCAGATTCCACCTCCCCCAGGAAGCCTTTCTTTCCTAAGGACCCTGAGGCCAGGTCAGGACAGATGCCTCTCCCCCCTCTCCACTTCAACAGTGTTATCACACTCTTTGGTGATTGTCTGTTTACTTGTCTTAGAGCTTCTTAAGGGCAGATTGATGTTCCATCATATCTAAATCCCCAACACCTAGCTTAATGCCTGGTACACAGTGGGTGTTTCACTAAATGTTTGTTGACTGTTACACGAAGGAGGGTCAGGTGGAAAATATCTCTCCAAGAAGTAGAGCTCACAGTTCTACCCTCTTCCTGGGCTGGGGAGAGGGGCCAGAAATATTCCTAGGTTCACTGCTTCCCCACTGGACTTCCAGAGGTAGGAAAAAAAGCAAATGAAAATCTTATGGTGTGGTCAGGAAAGACAGTCTCCCAGTCACAGGCCTCCTGGGACTTTGGCACTCCTTCCCTGCTCTGCAGTCTAGGTCACGTTCAACCCAGGTTTTGTGGCAATCTTCGCTCAGCCCCACTGGGGACTGGACAACTTGGCCCACAAATCAACTTTGGTGGAGACCACTGTCCCCAAGTCCCCTCCTGCTAGCCAGAGGGATTAGCGAGGTGAAAAGTCGTTTGAGATATCCCAGCCCGAGGTGTGGAGGGGACACCCTGAGGGCTACAAGGCCTTTGCCTTTTCCCTTCACAGAGAACAGGAGTGCCCCGGACATCTCATTTCCCTTTGCCCCCCCAGGAACCCCACTAAGCCTGAGTTCAAGTTGCCAAAGGCCAAGTTCCACTTACCTTTCACTCCCATCTACTTCTTGCCCAGAGGAGAGAAGGGGCGATGGGCTTCCCAGACCAAGGAGTGCCAGGGGGTCCTGCACTGGGGCTGGAGCCGCGGCCAGGGTCAGGGCTGGGGTGGCAGCGGCCGCGGGAGCAGTGGGGTCCATCCTTAGTGTGTGCATGTCACGGCCAAGCAGAATGTGGGGGCTCCTACTTCTCAGAACAGCCCGCACTCTTTTGGCCTTTCCTGGGAGACCCTTTTTAAGGCCTGCCTGGACTAATAAATTATTCAGGGAAGAGCAGGAATGGGATACCTGGGGCAGGGGGTTGGGGGATGGAGATTTAGGAAAAGGGCTCAGGGGAGAGAGCTGTGTTCCTGGGTGTGAAATCTCTCCCAGTTGAATAAACAGAGAGTCAGTGGGGGGTGAGGGGTTTTCTTTACCTCCAAGTCAGAAAGGAAAACACAGAAGGGGCAAATCACACACCATTTGTGCGAATTCCCCAAGGCAGTGGCAGCACCAGACAGGGGGAAGGAGGGAAGCTGGCTGGAAACCGCATCAAGTTATCAGGCACAGAGGGCTGAGTAGACTGGCCCTTAGCAAAAGCCGGTCCCAGCGAGAAGGGACAGCTGACTCGGCTAAGGCGAGTGAGGGATTCGCAGGTTATTTCAGCTCCAACCTCAAAGAGATTTGCCAGGTGGACCTGATACAAGGTGACTGCCATGAGGATACCACCCGCATTAGAGGGGGGAAAAAGGAGGTTCTGGGTGGGGCATGTCCAGTTGCCTGTGGGGTGAACCTCAGGTCTTCTTTCCACACCCTCCCCTTTACTGGTCAGATCATTTGCAGAAGGGCCTGAATCTCCTCTCCAGCCTCAGCAGGAAAGGGTCTGGTAAAGGAACCCAGGCAGCATTTCCAGGGTTTCCGGGTCCGATGCCAGATCTCAGAGCTCAGTTTCCAGTCTGGAATCCAGGGTGCCGGGGGGGGGGAGGCAGAGCCTGGCCCAGCTGCGAAGCCACCGCAGGACCATCTCTGGCCCCAGGGCCTCGGTTCCCTCACGTGTGAGAGGAGGATGCGAGCCCAGTGGTCCCAAGGGACACAGTCAGCCTGCACACTGTGACGGGGCTGGGCCGATGCGCACTGACCGTGGACGAGCTCAGCGGCTGAGGCACAGTCCTCGGCCTCAGCCAGTCTTCGGGGCCTTTGCCAAAAGGCTTCCAGTTACAACTACTGGCAAGTTCCTTATGCTTTAGAGGTCCTGAAAATATGCCTCTTGACCTCTGTGTTGAGTACCAGCACAGATTTATTTAGCTTATTGGATATTCATCACAGCCGAGTGTGTAATTGTCAAAAATTAGAAACCACCTCAATGCCCAATGATAGGAAACCAGTTATTAATTAGGGTAAGTCCTTGCTGCCGAATCCTAAGCAGGCATTCACGATCATGTTCCAGGAAGCATGATTATCAACGGAGAAAGGTTAAAAGATCAGATGCTAGAACAGTGTGAATAACTGGATTCAAGGACTTCTTTTGTCTATTCACCTACCGCCTACCTGCACCCCACTTCAAATTCCACCTCCTCTGAGTTCTTTGTAGGAAAGGAAAATTGGAAACAACCCAAATGTCTCACTTCGGAACGCTGGCTAAATAAATCATTGAACGGTTCTACAATTTCATATTAAAATTGGCTTGGTAGAAGACTAGGGGAAAAGGTAATATATTGAAGCGTGAAAAAAAAAAAGAAAAAGAAGCCTGTGCAATATAACTTGGAGGTTGATCCTATTTTGGTCAGGAAAAAAAGGTGTAGAATATACAGTATGCAGAAAAAACAGACTTGACTGTTAGAAGAAAGGAAAATGTTACAGTGATCGGTTCTGGCAGTAAGATTGTGGGAGATTTTTAACTTCCTTCTTTAGGCTTTTCTGAATTTTTCTACAAAGTTCCACAAGCCCTGGTGGTAAAAAGTTAAGACCCATAAAAAGAAAAAGAAAGAAATGCTTATCCACAGAGGAGACAAAACTCTTGTGGAAATGACAGCCATTTTCAAATATCTGAGGATGAGACTGCAGTGAGATTGCACTTGTTCTGTGTGACTCCAAAGGGTAGGGCTGAGGCCCAGGGGTAGAAGCTACAGGGAGATACATTTTGCCTCAGTCAAAGGAAAACTTTGCAACAGCCCAGCCACCCCCTAACCCAAAGGCCTGGCACTGTACCGGCCCTCAATACACAGAGGTTTATTATATGCTGTGAAGTGAGCCCCCTCTGACTGGGCTGAGCCTCTCTGTCCCTGAGTTGTGTAAGTGCAGGCCGGATCCTGGATCCTTGATCCTGGAGAGGAAAATCTTGGTGGGGGCGGTGGTTGGTGAGGAGGACTACTGGGGAACCTGAGTTTCTACAACTCTCTGAGGGTTCTTGCTAAATTTACCTTCGGGAACTGAGAATTTTTTTTGCACTGTGTCTCTGGCTCCGATGAGGGGTGAGACTGATCTGGAAGGAGGTGGCATGCAAAGGAGAACAAAGCAGCCCTGTAGTCACACCCGGGGATCTTTTTGACCTCTAGGCGGCCATGGACTCTGAAAATAGGCAGGAGGGAGGAAAGAAAGGCAGAAGAGGGAGATACTCGTCCTGAGCCTGGGGCTCATGCCCAGCCAACGCTGAACTTGTGTTCTTCCAGCCACAATCTTTCACAACTGGGGCTGTCCGGAGCCACAGGCCTCGGGGGTCCCCTCATGTCAGCTCCCAGCTTCCTCTCCCGGAGCCCAGATAGCCTTCAGGCCTATCATCATGGATCTTTGTTTTCTCTGCATAATTGCTCTGTCTTGCTTCCTCCTGAGAATTGCCCCAACCTCATTCAGCTTGTGGGATATGAAGCCACTGGCCCCTCTTGTTGGCCACTCCCAGGATTTCAGGCCTACAAGGATTGCTGGGCCCAAGTGGGCGCCTGGCTGTCTTCCTTTGCACTCAGCACAGAACAGGAGTGAGGTGGCCAGCAAGGCGACAAGAAAGGTCTGGAACAACCAAAATGAAGAGCTTCCTGTCAGGGCAATTATGGTCCTACCTCTGTTTTCCCTAACAGCCCTGTAGTGCTTCTGGGTTCTGTCAGTCGTTGCTTTGGCAGAGCACTGTGAGAGGGCTTGGTGCCTCCAACGGCCAGACCCTGCGGGACATTGCCAGGCGAGAGAATGGACTAGAAAGAGGAGCAGACACTGCCTCAAGGTGCTCACAGCCCAGGGAGGGAGGCAAGACCTGCACAGGGGAAGACAGATTCCATCAGCCTCAGTTGTGCCTGGTACCCCTCTGCCACCCTTGTGCACGTTCCCTTGTAGACTCCCCAGCCCCAGCCTCCACACTTCCCTGGGCCACGTTCCAAACTTCCTTCAGCTCCTCCCATGTACCTGCCCCTCCCTCTAGCCCTCTCCCCGCTTGCACACAGAACAACCTCTCCTCTCACTTCCCTGAGAAAACAGAGGCTTTCAAGCGTGAATTACCTCAGTGCCCTGCCCCACCCCCCCAAACTGGCCTGCCTCTCCAACTTCCTTCCCCTCCAGCCCTCCCTTCTTAGGGGACAAGGTGCCCCTCTCGTTAAAGGCTAATCTGTTCACCTGGCCTTGGCCTCATCCACCTTCCTCCTCTGGGCCCTTCCTCCAGACATTATGGTCCTTCTCGTCAGGAAACTTCAGCTTCTTTCTACCCTCTCTTTCCCTTCGGATTATAAAATGCCTTCTCTGTCATCCCCCAGAACAGGGCCCCTACTTCCCGAGACATGTTCTTTTGCTCCCCGAACTTGCTAGCTCTCTGTCTCGCTCTCAATCTCTTTCTCTCCCCTCCCCTCCCTCCTTCCCTCTCTCCTATCTTTCCTTCACCTGGAGATTTGTTGAAAGTAGAGTGTAGAGTTTTCCCAACTGCCCGTTCGTGCCTCAGCTTAGTGCAGTTTGGCCGCATCCCCGTCCTTCTCATGAAAGGGCGCTACCAAAGGTCACCAGTGACCTCCTAATTGCCAAGTTCCATGACCTCTTTGAACGCTGCGTAGCCAAAGGCACTGTTGGGCAAGTCCTTATTTCTAAAAGTCTCCTTCCTCTCTTGGTCACTCTCTCCTGGCTTTCCTCCTACTTTTGGAACCATTCTTCTGGGTATCTTTTGCTGATCTCCCTTCCTCTGCCCACTCCTCAAATTGCTTGTTCTCAATTACAGTCCACAAGTCAGGCTGATACACAGTAATGTTTTCAATGGGTCACCACCAAATGGGAAAAGCACCAAAACTGAAGTTTATATATATGTATATATGTATTAATGGTGGTCCTAGGGCTTGAACCCAGGAGTTTGTGCATGCTAAGCGTGTACTCTACCGCTGAGCTATACCACCCCCCCAAATATCTTCCATTATAAAAAAGTGTCCTTTATTATGACATGATGCCCTTCTGTTTTTTTTTTTTTTGGTGTCGAAATAGTCTCTTTCTCTTTTTTTATTTTTTGAAATGCTCGCAGTGGTGGAGCGTTTCTTTAATGTCCCTACTTGGCAAGATAAAATGTTAATTTCTCCATGTCAGTCCCATTCATGTTGATTGAATGAATGAAAGACTGAGAATTATATTTCCAGCCTGAAACGTTCCTGACAGGCGTCTCGAACTCATACCTGCCTCGGGAACAAGCGTCACACTGGCCCAGCTACGCAAGTGAGAAGCCTCCTCCAGCAAGCCCTGCTGACTGTAGTAGTCACCACCGCTCACATTTGCCTCCTCTGTGCTCCCTCCTCTCCAGGTTGTTTCTTCCATTTTGGCTTCATCCGTCCTCGCTCACCTGGATGCCTGAAACAGCTTCCAGATAGGTTCCCCCATCCTTGACTTGGCTGTAACTGTCCATCCTTCTCACAGCCATCCAAGTGATGTTTCTAAAACACAGCACTGAGAGAAACAAAACAAACAAACAAAAAACCCCAAAACCCCCACAGGGCTGAGTATGCCCCTCCTGTATTTAAACACTTTCAGTGATTCCCAGTTGCCTATGGGAGATGTCTAATCTCCTTTGTGTGGCAGTTGAAGCCCTTTGCTGCCCAAGCCCAGCCTGCCTCTCCAGTCTTCTGCCTCCAGTGCCCTCCACGCACCCTCCTTAGCAGCTCCCCTGTAGAGACCTCCCCTCTATGAACAGGCCATGCTTTTCACCTGGAATCTTTTCACAGTTCAGGGCTTTTGAATGTCGTAATCCCACCCCATAGAGGGCTTATCATGGAGAACACTGTGGGTCACAACCAGTGGCAGGGCTTAAAATCAATTTAGTGAGTTGCAGCCAGCATTGAACAAAATGAATGAATAGCAAATAGAGGAATGAATCGCATGGGGGTAAGGGTGTATTATTGTTCTGTGAAACTTTTGTTTTAATCATATATCTAGATCTAAATTTAAAGATACACAGATGCATGTCCTGGGTCATGTTGTAAAATACATGTCTTATTGTGGGTCCCAGTCACAAAATTTGACCACACCACAGGGACTAGATGTTATTCTGTGACTCATTTACTTAGTGCCGTTCATGTTAGAGTTCTTGCTCTCCAAATGGGCCTAACCTCACAAGGGAGCGTAACAGAGGCCAGGAGAACAGGTAATCCCTGGGAGACCTCGTGGAAGAGGGGGCAGTCTAGCGGGGCTGGGCTTAAGTAGGCAGAGAGAAGGGGAAATGGAATCTTGGCACAAAAGTAGAGAGTAAGGGGATAGAACATTTGTTAAACATTTATGTACTGGGCACTGTTTTAAGCATTTTGCATGGATTAAGTCTCACAAACAACCCCATGAGGAAGACACGATTTCAAGCCTCATTTATAGGTGAGATTAAAGAACTTGCCTGAGGTCACAGAGTTGAAAGTGACAAGGCATGGATTTGAACTTGGGGAGTCTCTGGGCTCTGAACCACCACTGGGGGCTGGTGCAGAGAAGCCCCCCACTCCGTACAGGGGATGGGGAGGGTCTAGGCCAGCAGGAAACAGGAGGAGGACCTGGAATGCCAGGCTGAAAGTCCCTGAACAGGCTCTGCCCTCACCTCGGCAAGAGACATCTTCCTCTCTCCCTCTCGCCTTTGCCTCTGGAGTCAGGGTCCCTGGGGTTGGAGCAGGAAGCCTCAAAACCAGCATGGGGGCCAAGTGGAGGCTGAAGGCAAGGCAGGGTGTGCTGTGAGAGAGAAGGGACGGGGGAGATTCTCTTCCCACCCAAGCCTGTCCCCAAAGCAAAAATAGCAAATGGTGCCGGGGACCTCTGCCCTCAAGTCCAAATGTCCCAAATGTGCCAAGTCTTGGACCTAGCCCCTTGGATGCCTGGGACAGGGGGTCCCCTCCAGAGAACAGTTTGTTGTCGGGTCAGCTCTCCGCCTGCACTTTCTGCCTCTTGGCTGCCATTTGAGCCTGGGTGGTGGCTCATGTGGTGCCGGGCTCTCTGGGCAGAGGCCC